CTGGGAAGGTGGCTCAGTGGTAGAGTGCTTGCCTTGCATGCATGAGGCCCTGGGTTCGATTCCTCAGCACCACATAAGCAGAAAAAGCCAGAAGGGGCACTATGGCTCAAGTGGTAGAGAGCTATCCTTGAGCTGAAGAGCTGAGGGACAGTGCCCAGGCCCAGAGTTCAGGACCCACGACTGGAAAAAAAAAAAAATTGCAAAGCAGAGAGGGAAGGAGAAAACGTTGGTGATCCTATTATTCTACTTGGTTACTCATATATCATATTACTCTAAATAGTTACTGAATTCTAGTAAGTTCTTCAATTATAAATTAAGCCCTAGTTGTTTTTTTTATTGTCAGTCATGGAGCTTGAACTCTGGGCCTCGGTGCTGTCCCTCATCTCTTCAGCTCAAGGCTAGCACTCTACCACTTGAGCCACAGCGCCCACTTCTGGCTTTTTCTGCTTATGTGATGCTGAGGAATCAAACTCAGGGCCTCATGCATGCGAGGCAAGCACTCTATCACTGTGCTACCTTCCCAGCCCCTAAGTCCTATTTTTAAATTTTTAAAAAGTCATATTTTAATTTATATTTGAAAGCACATATAATTTTAAGTAACAGTATATATATGTTATTATTTAACTTCTTTTACTTTAGATTGCTGGACTCCAGTGTTTCACATCTATAATCCTAGCTACTCAGGAGGCTGAGATCCGATTATTACAGTTCAAAGCCAGCCAAGATAGAAAAATCCATGATACTCTTATTGCCAACTAACCAGCAAAAAGCTAAATTGGGAAGTAGAGCTGTGGCTCAAAGTGGTATAGTGCTAGCCTTGAGAAAAAGAGCTCAGGGACAGTACCCAGGCCCTGAGTTCAAGCCCAAGACTAACAACAAAAAAAGCTGAAGGGCTGGGAATATGGCTTAGTGGTAGAGTGCTTGCCTAGCAAGCATGAAGCCCTGGGTTCAATTCCTCAGTACCACATACACAGAAAAAGCCAGAGGTGGTGCTGTGTCTTAAGTGGTAGAGCTCTAGCCTTGAGCAAAAAAAAAAAAAAAAGCTGAAACAGAGGCATGGCTCAATTGGAAGATCACCAGCTGTATATGTGTCTGTGTGTACATAAATAAGCCAAATAAAACAAAAGAGAAGATAAAAAGATATTTATATTTGTAAACTTACCATCTAACACAATTCCAGCAACTTCTCTACCAACAGGAAAGAAATCCTTTTCCATCTTCATCTCTGCAAGAAGCTAAGTGATGACAAAGGTAATTAAGACATTATGGTCAAGAATCCCAAAAAAGTAGAGAATATTCTAAAGTCTATCACACATGACAAATATAAGATCAGAAAAAGCAGGGAAAATATAATTCAGTTTTTGGAATTAGACAAAGCACACAGCTTTACAAGTAGCTTTCTCTACAGAATAGGAATCTAAAAGTTTTCAGAGGAATTAGTTGATATTCAGGACTTAATCATGAGTAGCATTACTGAAATCACCATTGGCAGCCTTTATTTAATATACTTACTTTGCCAAGATGAAGTAAAATTATAACAGTAACGTGTTGTAGTTGGTGGAACACTCTTTACCAGGCACCTATTCATGTAGGACGAACAAACGAAACCTGCCCAATGAGGACAAAATGTTCTCTTCTCCCAGACCTTTAAAAGTCATCCAGGCAGATGCTGGTGGCTCATGCCTGTAATCCTAGCTACCTGGGAGGTTGAGATCTGAGAACTGTCATTCAAAGCCAACCTGGGCAGGAAAGTCTGTGAGACTCCTATCTCCAATTAACCACTCAAAACTAGAAGTGGTACTGTGGCTCAAAGTGGTAGAGTGCTAGCTCTGAGCAAAAGACAATGTCCAGGCCCTGAATTCAAGCCCCATGACCAATGAAAAAAGAAGTCATGATGGATTTTCTTGCAAGGGAACAGGTAGGAAGAGCTAATGGATATTCACAGAACAATCACCACATGCTGTGCTCATATGTAAAGTTTAAGACTAAATCTTTATTTTGAAGAGATCAGTATTTAGTATTATTAGTATTATATATTAGTGTGTATATATATATATATATATATATATATATATATATTAGTATTAGCATTACTAAGTTCTTGTCTTTGGAAATAACATAGTCATGTAAACCTGTATTTAAGTTCCTGAGACAATACTAGAAATCTTTAATGTGTTTGTAGGTATCAATACTTATTTTAGAAACAGTAGGTAAAAAAGAAATTGATCCAGGGCTGGGAAGGTGGCTTAGTGGTAGAGTGCTTGCCTTGCATGCATAAGGCGCTGAGTTCAATTCCTTCAGCACCACATAAGCAGAAAAAGCCAGACGTGGGCTGTGGCTCAAGTGGTAGAGTGCTCACCTTGAGCTGAAGAGCTGAGGACAGTGCCCAGGTCCAGAGTTCAGGCCCCACAACCAACAAAAAAAAAAAAAAAGAAAAAGGAAAAGAAAAAAAGAAATTGATCCAGCTGTCAATGGCTATAATCATGTCTATAATTCTAGTTACTCAGGAGGCTGAGATCTGAGGATCACAGTTTGAAGCCAGCCTAGGCAGTAAAGTCTGTAAGACTTTTAATCTCCAAAAAATTAATCAGAAAAAACCACAGGTAGAGCTGTGGCTCAAGTGGCAAAGTGTAAGCCTTGGGCACAAAGAGGATCAGGGACAGTAGCCAGGCACTAAGTTCAAGCCCCAGGACCAGCAAAAAAAAACAAAAGAAATTACAATTTGTTTGTATATTCTCTTTTTCAATTAAAAAATATACTATATGTCTACTTGCTTTACAGAAGTCTCTTTCTCAAAGTGGAATATTATAATTTTCTTGTGATATTCACATGACAGATTCATAGAAATATTATATTTTCTCTCAGTGGTTATTATTAGTTTAGTATTAGTATTATTGGTGGTCGTACTGGGGCTTGAATTCAGGGTCTTGCACTTGCTAGGCAGGCATTCCAGTCATGTATCCAGTCCTATTTTGCTATAGTTATTTATGAGTAGGTCTCATATTTTTACTCAGGGTGGGCCTGGACTTTATTCTCCTACCTATGGCCTCCTACACAGCTAGGATCACAGTTATATACTACTATACTCAGTTTATTGATTTTTTTTTTTTTTTTGCTGGTCATGAGGCCTGAACTGTGGGTCAGGGCGCTGTCCCTCAGCTCTTCAGCTCAAGGCTAGCACTCTACCACTGGAGCCACAGCGCCACTTCTGGCTTTTTCTGTTTATGTGGTGCTGAGGAATCGAACCCAGGGCCTCAGGCATGCAAGGCAAGCACTCTACCACAGAGCCACCTTCCCAGCCCCTCAGCTTATTGATGAAGATGGGGTCTTGCTAACTTTTTGAGGAGACAGGCCTTGAACCTTGATGCTCATGATATCTGCCTCTCAAGTTTCTGGGATGCTTGTCTTGAGTCATCTTGCCTGGCGTTACTGTTTTTCTTTTTCGTTCTTGTTTATTGTTTTTGTCAGTTGTGGGGCTTGAACTCTGGGCCTGGGTACTGTCCCTCAGCTCTTCAGCTCAAGGCAAACACTCTACGGCTTGGGCCACAGCACCACTTCCGGTTTTCTAGTGGTTTATTGGAGATAAGAGTCTCACGGACTTTCCTGCCGGGGCTGGCTTTGAACCATGATCCTCAGATCTCAGCCTCCTGAATAGCTAGGATTACAGGTGTGAGCCACTGGTGCCTAGCTACTGTTTTTCTTTTGAGTTATAATAGTTATAGTCAAAATAGCATCCTACTTTTTTCACTTACTATAAATCTTTGCATACATTACTACATAGTTTTTATAATCATTATGTTAAAGGTATGTATTATTTAACTAATATTTGCTGCAATTTATCATTTCTTTGGTATACAGGAAGATTCTTTCCTAGATTTAGGTTTAAATCTGTCATAGTTTTTTAAAATGCAGTTTAATAACATAAAATTCTATAAACAAGGACTATTTACTAATATTCTTTGCGAAAACTTCAAAGAATATCACTTATTCATTTCTCAAGTCACAGACAGAGTTGACTAAGGGTAATATTTTTTTCCTCTTTTGCCTTATTGAAGAAAATTTTTAGATGCCTAGAAATTATGGTGACAATATAATCTAATAAAAACAGAGAATAACAAACTATAGTATTAATTTTTAAGAAAAAGTTGGGTGCTATTGGCTCATGCCTCTAATCCTAGCTACTTAGGAGGCTGAGATCTCAGTAAGGAGATGCTTTATAGCCAGCTGGGTCAGACAAACCCAAGAGACTCTTGTCTCCAAAAAGATGGAACTGTAAATGGGGTTCAAATGTAAAGTGTCAACATTGAGCAAAAAAAGCCAAGTGAGAATGAGAAGCTCTGAGTTCAGGCCCAGAACTAGGGGAAACACAACAAACAACAACAGAAAATGAAACAAAACAAAAATCTAAGGAAAAGTTAGGCCTGTGATGCATATTTATAATCCCAGATCTGGGCAAGCTGAGGTAAGAATATTGTAAGTACAAGGCCAGCCTGGGCTACTCACTGAGACCCTGGTTCACAAAACAAACCTGAAAAAACTTTCCATGCTCTACTTATTGTGGCACATGTTAATATCGTTTATTTACCATTTGAATAATTCCCATGTATTTTTATGGTCAATAATAAAAGTTTACTGAAGGGTAGCAGAATAGTACAAGATTTGAGATACGTGCTTAAGGGAGAGACAAAAAGAAAATGAGATGTACAAGTTGTTATGTCGAAAAACGAAATTTACAAAACAATGCTTGATAAGAAATGTACTCCTTGGGCAGGGAAGGTGGCTCAGTGGTAGAGCGCTTGCCTTGCATGCCTGAGGCCCTGGGTTCGATTCCTCAGCACCACATAAGAAAAAAAAAAAAAAAAGCCAGAAGTGGTGCTGTGGCTCAAGTGGTAGAGTGCTAGCCTTGAGCTGAAGAGCTGAGGGACAGCGCCCAGGCCCAGAGTTCAGGCTCCACGACCAGACCCAAAAAAAAAAAGAAATGTACTCCTTATCTTGCCCATATAATTTTAACTCCTCTGTATGGTATTTTCATAATAATAATAATAATAAAAGAAAATGATTTAAGAATATGAACTATGTGTAAAGACATGAACTAGAAATATCTATATAATCAATGGTTAAGAAATTGATTAGATTTCCAGTTTCAATTATTACTGCACTAACAAAGAAAATTTCTTTCTTGACTTACAGGTTTTAATAATTATAAACTCAGTTTTTGCAAAGAAAAGGAGTTTATAACACAAACTCCTAAAAATATGTGACCTTCTTTTTTTTTTTTTGGTCGGTCGTGGGGCTTGAACTCTGGGCCTGGGCACTGTCCCTCAGCTCTTCAGCTCAAGGCTAGCACTCTACCACTTGAG